TATATAATTAACAATATATAATTAACAATATAATTTTATATAATTATATAATTAACAAGTCCTTTATGTTGAATTATGCGTATTATACTTGTTAATCAGCTAGTTGCCGATTAAATTAATTGAAATTTGAGCAAATCCATTTCTACAAATGAAGATTAGCTTATATATATTCTATTTACTTTTTATCTTCATCTAGTTCTTAGAATTTAGAAAAAGATAAAATTAAGTTAAACCGAATTCAAAGTTAATTTATTAATAGAAGTGGATATAAGAGAAATAATTTTTCTTTAGCTTTTTATTCCTTATAGTAGACTTTTGTTAATTCTTTTTAATATTAAAATAAAAAAATTAAATAAGATGCGCCAAGTGGATCGCACCTCATGGTGGAAGATTGTACTATATATGCATCCTAGAATTAGAAAAAAATAAAAAATAAATTCAAACTAAGATTAAAGCTAACTTAATAAGTTAGATACAAACTAGTAGTTACTCTAAATTTATAGAAATACACGCATATATATATGAATTGATCGAAATAATTTATAATCGTTAATTTTGAATAATTCAATTATTCTTTCTTCAGTGATTCGTCTCCTGAGTATGTTAAAAAGGAAAGAACGGAGCGTTCGAAGGTGCAGAAAGTGCGAACGAAGAACGAAGCTTGCTTCGCCACGACCGGTTTCTCACGCTCCTCATCTCTATTCCTCGATTCCCTCATCACCGAGCGATATCCAATTCGGTCTATTATCGAGTCAGGAAGTCACTCGTACTGTCTCGGCTCGCGAGACACGAAGGTAGACAACATTCTGTAGGAGTTGCCTCAGAGCAGTGCATAATGATATCAGGATATGGGAATATAAGATTACTCGCTTCGTTCAGGTCTGTGATCACCGTCACTACACCTCGCATGTCCTCTATCCGGAACAATTCAGAATGAAACCTGTGTGCATTCGAGTGTTGTAAAGTATAAGAAGAAGGAAATTTGTGACGAGAAAAACTTGACCGACTCGATGAGTCGTTCGCCTGGACGAATCTGGATCCATCTGCACTCCTTGCACTTCCTGAGTTCAAAGTGGTTCGGAGTGAAATAAAGAAACGTGATTCATAGGAGCGAGAAAAAGAGGAGAAATAATTATTTGATCTCTAATCGGACGATTGTGTAATATCGATGCAATTGTGTCATATCGCGGTTAATCGCGATTTTATCTGACTTGTTGTTTCTGTTGTCGTTCGCGCTGGGTACAGCTGATACGCCTATTATTGCAATTTGAAAGGAATTAAGTAGGACGACGTTTTTATTGTCGCGTACAGATCGACGTCGCATGAAAGCAATTCGTGAATAATAGTTTTTTAATCGTTTTAATCTTTTTAATTGATAGATCAAATACGACCGATAGTATCGATTATATGACTTAAAACAGCTTAACATACAAGTACGATGATTATCGCGATTCGTGAGTGATCACTCTCCCGTATCTTATCGAAAATCGAAATCAAGATTACGTATCTAACGTAATTGCGCTACTATTGTTACGGAAAAGATACCAGAAACAGCGCGCGCGCGCGGTCACACACACCTGACTTCCTAATTCCTATTCCTCGGCATCGTGCGACGATGCGACAGCACTGACAGCGTCGGGTGAGCGACGACGAGAGGCGGGCGAAAGGGGACGTCGGGGGTCAAATGGGATCCAATGAGATCTTTTCTTCTGCTTACCGTGTCTGTCCGTGGTACGCGACTACACAATTTCCGCGGCGCGCGATGTTCCGATGAGCCGAGTTGTTATTTTACGCGGACAAGGTAAATGGAGAGACGCCAAATGCGGCATGATCAGGCAGTCATCGCGGCCGAAAGGTGAGCACTTTGTTTATGCATCTTGTGCTTGTTCTTCTGAGGTATTACTGTAAAACGCGACAGGTGGACGTGACATGGCTCGACCGTCGAAATCAGTGATGCGATCAGGTCGATCCTTGCTTATAGTCGAAAAGCAGCATTCTTCTTGCTTAGATCACTACACATTTTTGTACATTTTGTATAGTATATTTTTGACGTTGCGAGATGTACGCTCGAAATTCGCGAATTATTATTAGATTCACACGTTCACCTGACTGATAGTTTCCCTGAGTTGCGTTCGAAGACACTCTCTGAATGACTCCGAGTAAACAAGTATCCTTGTTTAACAGTCGGTGAACAACAAGGATAAAATGATACTCAAAGGTACTTGGATAATGTTTTCAAACGCAGTCTTAGTATCTCAAGGACGAGCCTATTGTTCCTCAATGAGAAAACGTGATGGAATAACATGGGAGTAATATATAATGTCATTATGGTTTTCCATAATTAAGCAAGTGTTGACAGCAATTAGGAATGTTTGTGTTTGTGATACGAAGAAAAGAGTCAAAACTGTAGAAGAAGGCTTTATGGCTGATATTATTACCATTTAAATCTTTTTAAATGTTTGAAATTGGAGCAAGATGGATAGTGTTTATGTTGCTGCATACATAACTGGTTATTGATAAGACCGATGGTATGGTACTGCCAACCAATGGCGTACACAAGCATAACACTTAGCATATCTTTTTTAATAGTCTTTGTTATGGCAATTGTAGTGGTGGAAATTATATCAGTAAAATCTCAAACGCACTTTAATAGATATGGCGTTTTTGCCTGTGTCTAGCCTACATCTCAGACAAAAATGTTATTTTTTTACAAATAAATTAAAACTTAGACAAGATAGATATTCTATATAATATAAATTAAATCTACAATACATGTATTGTAGATCGATAAGAATCGACAATAATCGATAAAAATTGATAATAAATTTTACAGAATTGCTGATAAACAATGAATGACACAAAATAACAAACAATTACAAACACACATGTTTTAAAGCTGATAGCATTCTCGTGAAACTTATTAGTTCACATGCAATTGTAACCAAATATATAGAGAAGTTTTTTACTTGCATGTTTAGATTGTTCCATATATTTCAATTTTTGTGATAATAATATTTTTTGGAGAATTAATATAAGATATATTCACACATTCTTTCTCTGTATAGATGGAAAGATCACGACAACTGCCCAAGGATTTACCTGCAATCACTGTCAACAGTAATGGCAGTGTTAAAGGCAAGGCATCTTTTGTTCGACGATTGGCAATAGGATTTGTAATTTTGGCTATATTAGGCCTCTTATATGTGCCAGCATACCACTCCGCTCAGAGCCC